TAAATCCACAGACCAACCGCGTCGGCCGCCCCTCCGTGGACCACACTGCGGATGCCTCGTGAATTATGCAACATTGTTTTCATAACTCCTCTGAAAGGCGCGCGGTTCGAATACCAGAATCTCAGTTAAAGCTTGTGTTTTTTTTTCCTAGCCGCCGCGCCGGTACAGAGGATGTGCTCGGTACGTGCTGTACTACTGTACTCACTCCCCCCAGGCAGCTTGCTTGCTTAGAATCAACCTTGACTCGTCCGCCAAACGGTGGTGCGGCGCGCACACACTCTCACCGAGCCCTTCTGACCTTACGGTGTCGTCGCGGCCGCCCGACAGCGGGCACACTGCTGGAAATACCGTATGCTCTTCGCCGGCCTGCGACATATGGTCCGATGACGAGTCGGCGAGATCTTGACGACCCGGTTCGATAGCTCGTTAGGCCACACCGCTCCACGATCACTCTGCAGCAGAGAAAATCATGATAAATCTGCCGGTCCAATAACCTGGTCCAACCCCTAGGGGGTTCGGGGTCCTGCAGGTCAGGCCGGGGCAGGGTTGTCCTGTCGCGGCGACCCCACTCAAGGTCGAACGGTTTTATATCTTCTGATCAGATGTTGTTTGTTTTTTGTGTTTTTTTTTCAAAAGAATTATTGGGTTGACAACGGAGATACGAGAAGGGTTTGATCACCGCGGTCCCCGCTCCTCGCTGACGCACAAGGTCGGCGCCGCGGGTGCCACCGCGGGCCGGAGGGGGTGATGTACCAGGTGTCCTTGCAACGTGCCGACGGGCTGTTGGGGGTTCGGTTTGCACATAATATCGCTCTGCGAAAAACGTTGTAGGTTCATGATTGCGAATATGTTCGCAGACCCTTTTCCGTTTTCAAACTCGTATATACTGATTTTGATGGAACGGGAAGGCAGCGTTCCGAACAATATGGCAACGATTTTGGCATGGAAAAAAAAAAACAAAACAAACAAACAACACCTGAAAAGATGAGACTGATTTTTGTTCTTTTCTATTTCCGTTTCCTATAGGCCGGAACTGCGCGAATATCGCCCATTTCTAATTCATGTCTATTTCCACCACCTCTCGTATGCGTGCCCACACACCCCTTTGCGCTGTGCTCCCGTGGGCCCGGCCCCGGCCCTGCTGCTATGGTCGCAGGAGAGCCCTCGGGCCAAACACGGGTCACGCGGGGGAAGGGAGGGGGGGGGGTCACGCCGGTGTTGGCGTTGCCGTCAGCGCGAGGGGGCATATGGCCTGGCATGGCGTGGCGTGGCGTGGCGTGGCGTGGCCTGGCGTGGCGTGGCGTGGCGTGGCGTGGCGTGGCGTGGCGTGGCGTGGCGTGGCGTGGCGTGGCCTGGCCTGGCATGGCATGGCGTGGCGTGGCGTGGCCTGGCGTGGCGTGGCGTGGCGTGGCCTGGCGTGGCGTGGCGTGGCGTGGCGTGGCCTGGCGTGGCCTGGCGTGGCGGGCGCGGGTGGCGCCGGCGACCTCGTGACATTGCCGGACGTATGATGTCGCGTCGGGGCGGCCGTCATGGCCCTCATGGCCCTCATGCTGCTCGTTACGCCTCTGCTGCCCCCTTTGACCTGACCTATATTTCCTGAAGGGAGGCCGCGGGAGCGTGGAGGGGG